TTTTGAATTTAGGTCTTCCTAACACCGACTCCAATACTCTTATCCTGCCTCCTCAATAAATCAAAGCAAATAACTGAGTGTGCTGAATGCTAACAGGATGCTTTCAAAAATCAGTTTCTCTTTCCTCTAGGTTTTTTTTAAATAAATTTTTATTGATTTTTTTATAACATATATTTTCTATTGCATCCTTCTACCCAATTCTTCCATGAGAGCCATCTCAGATAATGAAAAGATAAAAGAGGAAGGAACAAACAACAAAGTCTATAAAACTTAGCAGAACAGCGTGGCAAAAAAAAAAAAAAATTAATATTATATGCAGTTCCCCAGAAGTAGAAAGCTGATTTCTCATTTCTCTTCTTTGAGGCCAAGCTTGTTTATGCTCATTTTGAAACATTCAGTTTCTGCTGTTTCATTATTGCTGTTCTTTCTTTCTACATTACTGTAGTCGTCGTGTATTATTGTTTTCTTGATTCTGTTTCAGATGCCTCTGATCAAATGAGATCATATTTGTCAAGCACAGTGCCTGGAATATAGTAGGCACTTAATAAGTGCTTGTTCCTTTCTCCCTTCCTCTGTGTATTTCACTTTGCATCAGTTTTTGTCTTCTCCTGTTTCTTTACGTCTCCTTCATTTCTCACTATAAACAGCTGAGCTTAGGATTTCCTGTTATGTGACTATTTGAGGTCATCATCTCTACGCCCCTCCCCAACCAACTGTGCCTTCCTGTACTGATAAAGCTGCTTTGAAGTTAGAAGCTTTGCAAGTGCAAACAGGAGACCTTGCTAGCAACCCATAGCATTATCAACAAGAAAGGAGATTAATTGGAAATATTTTGTTTCCCAATTCTGACGTACTTGCCAGGTGAGGTAACCTCCAGGAAGGTCAAACTGTATCTAAACAATATAGTGACTGGCCCTGAGAACATGTGTGTTTTATCTCGTGGACTATTGTTCAGTTCTAACGTACATGCCTACGTGTGTGTGTGTCTGTGTGTGTGTGTGAGAGAGAGAGAGAGAGAGAGAGAGAGACATAGACAGAAAGTCAGAGAGAGAAAGAGAGAGACAGGAGGGGAGGAGAGAAGGGGGGGAGGAGGGGAGGGGAAGGTGAGAGAGAGAGAAGAGATAGACAGAGAGAAAGTCAGAGACAGAGATAAAGAGAGAGGAGTGAGACAGAGACAGAGAATAAGCCAGAGAAGACAGAGTTTCAAGTATCCATTAGACTGTGAGTTTCTTGAGATCATAGACTGTTTTTTTTTTTTAGCCTTTATATCCCCAGTGCTTAGCACAATGTCTGGTACATGGTAGGTGTTTAATAAATGCGTGTTGACTTGACTACTTAGCCTAGCATTCAAAACTTCCACAAACAGACCTTAGGTTACATTTCTAGGTATTCTCACATTTCTTCTCTGCTTCCATTTCATACTCCAGGCAAACTGGACTCTTCTACTGTTCCATGAAAACTCCCATATTTTCTCACATCTACATTTCCCAGTGACTGGAGTGCTACCTCACCCCCCCACTCTCATCCCTTCTGTGTGATGAAATTCTACCATATTTCAAGACTCAGCTCAGATCTAATCTTTTCCATGAAGCCAACAGTAATTAGAATTTTCCTTTTTTTTTTTCTTTCAGGAATCCTATAAGCCTGTGTTTTCACATAGGTGCCTCTCATTCTATTTTATATTATAATTATTTCTGCATGTATCTTACCTCTGTTACCAGACTAGCACCAGGACCGTGTCTCATTCAGTACCATACTCTACATACAAGAAGTACTTAATAAATGTTCGTTTGGTGGAAAAAAATGGATGCTTATCTTTCTCTACACTTCAGTGCCTACCACAGTGTTTTGCTTACAGCATGGCTTCATTGCTAATTAATGAATTCTACAAAGAGTTAGTATTGGCTGGATATATCATAGGCAGACTGAGAAGGTATAGTGAGCTGGGCTCAGAGTTGAACAGGGATAGGAGAGTGAGCTGGTTTGCCTTTGAGAAATTGTTCAATTCTTTTAATGACTCCAAACTTTAATGGCTTTTCTTTTTGAGCTAATCATGAGTAAATATCACCTCACCCCCCCCCCCCACTTCAGCTCCCAAATATGCTCTATCATTTGAAATGGATACTGACTACTTCTTATAGTTCTGGGTGAATCTTAGGTACGGAATGAATTCTTGTTTTTCAGTCATTTTTTAGTCATGTCCTACTCTTTGTGACCTCATTTGGGGTTTTCTTAGCAAAGATATTGGAGTAGTTTACCATTTCCTTCTCCAGTTCATTTTGCAGATGAAGAAACTGAGGTAAACAGGGTTAAGTGACCTGCCCAGGGTCACACAGCATAGTAAGTGTCTGAAGATGAGTCTTCCTGAGTTTAAATCTGGCCTCGGACACTTACTAGCTGTGTGATCCTGGTTAAGTCGCCTAACCCTGTTTGCCTCAGTTTCTTCATCTGCAAAATGAGCTAGAGAAGGAAATGGCAAACCACTCCAATATCTTTTGCCAAGAAAACCCCAAACAGAGTCACAAAGAGTCAGACATGACTGAAAAATGACTTAACAAAAACTGAGGTCAAAACTATTTTCATAATCATACCAAGATGCTTTCATTTCTAATGTGGTGCATTTGATACATATTACATTGCCAGGGGTGTGCTGGGGCCAGCTCCACCTAGCTCCTAAGAGCTGATTGTTAAATTTTAAATGTGAGCATTTACACCTCCAAAATCTACAAATCAGATCTTGATTTATTTAGTTTAGGTGATTGTCTAGACCTAAGAAAGTGATGAAGAAAATGTTAATAGTAATGCAAATTAAACTTAAAAGTATGTTCTTTATACATTTTTCTTTGGGAGGGAGAGTCTATTGTTAAATATCTACTACCATGCTCCCTAGATATAACCCACATAGACAAAAATTATTGGGATGGTCCTCAATAATTTTTAATAGCTAGCATTTATGTAATGCTTTAAGATTTGCAAAGTACTTACATATACACAACAACCCCATGAGGTCAGTGCTGTCATCACCCCCACTTTACAGATGAGGAAACTGAGGCAAATGCTAAGGTTCCTTCCAACATTAAATTATGATCCCATATTCTCCTGTTTTATACTCAGCTTAATGTTTATTCTCAGGAAATTATTAAAGAAACTGATTTCAGCAAAATTTAAAAATGAAACAAAAACAACCACAAAAACCCAAGCTGAATTCCTTGATCAGACTCACGGGTTCCTGAAAATTCCTTTGACTTCACTCTGATTACAATGTAAAATACCCCAGTACAAGATTAGATTTAGGACTGGAAAGGACATTACAAAGTCACTTAGTTCAATCTTTTCATTTTACAGATATGGAAACCGAGACTCTGAGATTGGAACCCAGGTCTTTTGATTCCACATTTAGCATTCTCAAGATTTAGCTTGGAGAGTTATGTGGTACACCAAGAGGTTCAATAGCTCACCTACAGTCACCAAGCTGTTATCAGTCAATCAGCAAACATTTATTGATCACCCACTATGTGCCAGGCACCGTGCTAAGTGCTGGGAATACAAAAGAGGCAAAAGACATCCCTTGCCCTCAAAGAGCTTACAGTCTAACACGCCAAACAAATATATACAAAGCAAGCTATATTCAGGATAAATAGGAAATAGTTAACAGAGGGAAAGCACTGGAGTTAAGAGGGATTGGGAAAGACTTCCAGTAAAGGATGGGATTTCATTTGGGGCTTTAAGGAAGCCAGGGATGCCAGTAGTATATGTCAAATGCAGATTTTTTTTTTTAGGCAATTGGGGTTAACTGACTTGCCCAAGGCCACACAGCTAGTGTCAAGTGTTTGGTCTGAGGTTGGATTTGAACTCAGATCCTCCTGACTTAAGAGCTGGTGCTCTATCCACTGCACCACCTAGCTGCCCCCTCAAATTCAGATCTTGAACCCAGGTCTTTCTGCTCCAAGACCAGTCTTCTATGCCCCTGTACCATACTCTTTATGGCGTTCTTATACCAGATAGTATTGTCCTGATCCCACCACTCTTAGTGTGCTCTCCTTCTTCTGGTTCGCTAGTAACTCAGTGAGGTGTGAACCCAGTACCTTGCATTTTTTTGGAGTGGGGGGGGGAGGGAGGGCAGGTTTCAGGCCTATCATTTCATTACAGTAGGGAATTCTTGGTAAGAAACTCCCTGTACCAATACAGATCAACAGCGGTATAAGAGTCAAAGAGTTGTCTAGGGCACTGAGCAATTAAGTGATTTATCGGAGGCTAGATTTGAACCTTGGGCTTCTAGACTCAAGGACTGGCTCTCTTATCATTCTACTTCCTGCCTGGCACATAGTAGATGAAATAAATGTTTGGGTTTTTTTTTGCTTTTTGGTGAGGCGATCAGGGTTAAATGACTTGCCCAAGGTCACACAGTTAGTAAGTGTTAAGTGTCTAAGGCTGGATTTGAATTCAGGTCCTCCTGACTGCAAGACCAGAGCTCTATTCACTGCACCACCTAGCTGCCCCCTAGATTTCTTTTTTAAGGACCAACATTTAAATCCAAAGCACTCTAGGTCTCATTGACTGGCCCATAATAGGTCCTAACCCAAGCCTCATTTGGTCATTATTTGGGCTCTGAAGGTTCAAAGTGAATGTAAACAGCAATTGTTTCTATTTTGGCCAGAAACCCTGAGGGTCTTTCCCTCCCAGATTGATTTTTTTTTTTAAACTAGGTAGAAGAGGCCATTCTTTGCCTCATTTCTTACCTAGCCTTAATCACTGAATGGACATAGCCAATGGACAAACTAGACTAGCTTAAAGAGACCTAGGTCTCCCACTGCATCTGGGGCCATCTCCAGTCGTCCTGATCTGGCCACTAGACCCAGATGGCTCCGGAGGAGAAAGTGAGGCTAGTGACTTTGCACAACCCTTCTTCACTTATATCCAATTCACTTGCATGTCATGTGATTACCTCCTTGATGTCATGGTCCTCTTCCAGAATGAAGGACAAACAACAACAACATATAGGTGCTTAATAAATGCATATTTCCCTCTCCTTCCCCTTTCCCATGTTACAGATGAGGAAAATAAGGCTCTTGGAGGTGAGGAAACTTGCTCAAAGACAACAAGTAGGGTTCAGTGTCTTGATTCCAAATCCAAGCTTTTCTAATGTTGAAAAAACAAACAGAGAAAAGAAAAACACCTTAATGCCAACAAGGACTCCAATTGTAATTTGCTATGGCCATGAAATATAATGTTTTCTATGAAACAGAGTTGTTTGTCAGCTCTGACTTATAGAAAAGGTTGTTAGAAACAAACTGCATTCCTGGGTTTGTCAAAGGGTTGACTTGCTATACCTTTGCCCAGGCAGTGCCCCATGTCTGGAATGCCCTCCCTCCTTACCACCAGCTTGTTTTCTGCTTTCTGATGCCACCATTTTTACTCTTTGGTCATAAGAGCAAGAACATGAGGTGAAAGAACCTTGCTTGGCTTTCTCCCACCGGCAGCAGTCCAACCCACATCCCTGAGAATTCACATTGGGGCAGAGAAGGACAAGACAAATGTCAGGAGTTGGTAAACAAACAATTTTGTTTTATGTCAGCAGGCTGACTTAATGAAAACCTTCAAGGGCTCCTCACCTGACTCCACTGAGAGAGATGAGCCAATCCCATTGGGGGAAAAATATATTTGTTTTCTCTTTGCCACATTTGTTTACACTTGGGGACTGTTTAACTTGGTCTCCATAGAGGAGCTGGAGACAGTCACATCACTCTGGGCACCCACCATCACCTTGCCCTTTGCTGGCAGCAGGCAGATGAGGCAGGATCTCCAGAAACCTCCGGGTGTTTTTTGTCTGTTTCTTTTTTGTTTTTAAATTGGAGCATAATTCTTGCCTCTTAAAAGTCTCATTCTCCTTTATAGAGGAAGGGTGCCCAATAAATGCCAGATTTGAGTGAGAACCAAGGGGAGAGAAGCAGGACGGTTTCTCTTTCATTTTGAGTACTTTTTAAAGAAAAAAATAGATTTTTACTTTTAACTTTTACTCTTTAGTGACCTGGGCTCCCTTGCAAGGCAGTAGTGCCAAGCCTTTCTAGGAGGATTGTTAGATGTGTGTATTTCATTCTGGCTTTGTCTAATTTCTTCCTTGTATCTCTCCCTTTACCTCTCCCTTCCTAAGAGTCATCTCTTATAACAATTTTTTAAAAAGAGAAAAAAACCCAGCAAAATCTATAACTATATACATACATACATATATATGTGTGTGTAGATATATACACCTGATATTACATGCAATGTTTTACTCACCTCTGCAAAAAGAGTAGAGGGAGGCATCTTCTATCTCGTCTTTGGAGCCATGATTATTCTTTGTTGATTTCAAAACATTCCATTGACATACAGATGTAATCCTTATGTATTCTGTTTTCCTGGTTGCTCTTTCTTCACTTTGTATCAGTTTGTGTCAGTCTTCCCATGCTTCTCTGTATTTGTCATGTTCATTGTTTCCTTATATCATAATAATATCCTTTTACATTTGTGTATCACAATTTGTTGAGCTGTTTCCCAATCCATAGGCATCAACTTTGTCTACTATTGTTTACAATCACAAAAGGTCCTGTTATATTTTGGCATCCATAGAGATTTTCTTTTTGACAAGGACCTCCTCTGTGTGATTCTCCTTTAAAGGGGAAAGACTCCATGATCTGACGATCCTAGTCGTGTTATTTACCTAAAAAGAGACACAGAGAACCATAGGATCATGGAGTAAAAAGGGGCTTCAGGTAGCCCCCTGCTCCTGCCAAATGACAGACAGGTAACTTTCACACTCCTCAGAGAAGGTTTTTCTGAAGCCAGATTGAGTTCAATTCAACTCAGTTCAGTTCAATACATGTTAATTTAGTGTTTACTACCAGACAAAGTAGTTGGTGAGCTGAATTTCTTAGGAAGAGCTGGGTTCAAATCCAGTCTCTGACATTTATAAGCTATGTGACTGTAGGAAAGTCACTTAAAGACCTCAGGTTTCTTATCTATAAACAGGGAATAATAATACCTGTGGTTTCTATCTCACCGTGTTGTTGTGAGGCTCCGATAAGATTGTATATACTTTGCAGACTTGAAAGCAAATGAGTAAATAATTGTAAAGCTTTCACTTCAGTGCTTGGCACATAGTAAGCACTATGTAAATGTTAGCTATCTTTATTATTATTAATTATGCAAGGCACTGAGCATTCAAAGACAACAACAATATAGTCCCTGCCCTCAAGAAACTTACCTTCTATTAGGGATAAAAACAAGGAGATACAAAATAATTTTGAGAGGGAGAAAGACCTAACAACTGGGGGATTAGGTTAGGTATCATGTAGAAAGTGACTCCTAAATGGTGATTTGAAGAAATTGAGAGGCAAAGGTGAGAAGCAAGTGAACTCCAGACATAGGGGATCAACTGTGCAAACACACAGTGGTGGGAGTAGTGGGAGCAGCAGGTAGTCCAGTTTAACTAAAAGAGGAACTGCAGGAAGAAGATATAGGAAATTATATTGGAAAGTTAGGTGGGCACAAGACTGTGGAGGGCCTTAAATGCCAGGCTAAGGAATTCATATGAAGCATTTCATGCTCCTTGCTACACGCAGGCCCTCAGAAGATTCCACAGATTCAAGGCACTCTGTGGGTTTGTACCCACTTGGAATAAGTGCTCATGGGCCCTCACCAGTGTGTTTACTTTTATCAGTAAGATAAGTTAAAAAAAAGTTTTAATCAAATGAAATTACAAATGAAGAAAAGATGCCCTAAATGCACACAGTGGGCATACTTTTCCATAGGTTACCACACCGCCTGTGGTGAAGGTCTCACACACAGCCAGGGAACATGTGTGAAGGGGCACAAGCAAGGAACCCATGTAGTCAGAACAAATGTGTTGAAGGCACAAATGGGGGGACACATGTGGCCAGGATGTAATGGTAAAAAGGATAGTTCACACTTTTGATACTACAGAACTACAGATGCTTTTTTGCTGAAGTTCTCATTTTTTGCCTGGTGCCACTTTCTCTGTCTGCTGGGTGTGCCATCTCTTCTGGGCATCATATCTCTGGTCTCTATCACATCATATCGACTGGGAGTTTATCTCCACTGGTCTCAAGGTTGCTGAGTTTTCTGCCATCATCTGCCAGGCATCTGCTGTTTAATGTCTTCAGGGCCATCTGAAACTCTATGTCACTGATGGCTCTCTATTTTCAATTAATAAATATTATTTAAGTATCTGCTGAGGGCCAGATACTGCTCTTGGCACTAAGGATACAGCTACAAAAAGAAAAACAAACCACCATCAAAGAGCTTACATTCCAATAGGGGCGACAAGTACATATGCATATATGTGTATATATGTGTATATATATATATATATATATATGCACACAAACATACATACATACAGTGTATGATCTCTAAGTAACCCCAGACAATTCTCTTAGATTAGTTTATGACAAAGTGATACCTTGCATTGGAAGAAAGGGGTTTTCTCCTCTGGGAGTTCCATATGGTAATGAAATCATAGGATCAGTCCTCATCCTATTTTTCTGCTGCTTAGGACCTGAGGTCCTTAAACCCAGACAACTATCTGACTTGGGAGTAGAAAATGGTTGTTAATAGCTTTTAAATCTTTGATTATGACTTGGGATCTCTGAAACCCATTTTGAGGAATCTGCTTTTTACTGCTTCAAAAAAAAACCAAACCCAAAACCTTCACAGTGGCTGTCTAGGGATTGAGTCAAGAGGCAACTTTTGCTTCCAAGATCTTTCTTCACTGGTGTATAAGTGAAAGTAGAGGTAAGGACAAAAGACCAGATGAAGCCCGGATTAGCCTCTGCCCTCCACCCACCACATTCCTACCTTTGTTACGTACACCTGCTGTGTTTATCCTGTAAGCTCAGGACGCAGTGGGTGACTGTAGTCTTCCAAGTCTAACCAAGCTCTAAGCTCTCCACAGTGCCTGCTTCAGCTGCCTCATGGCCATTGGAACAAATTGTTCTCATCACCCATTACCCACCAGAGTAAGTCTTCACATGCTTTGCTTCACAAACACCTCCCACGCACTGATGGATTTGATTACCCTTGGTTACCCTCACCCTGGTGTAGCCTGTGTGCCAAAACGGTTCACTGGAATGTGGCTGCTGAGCGGGCTACAACTTGTTAGAGTCACAGGTGAGAGTTAAGTGAATCAAGTAGAAACCAAAGGTGGTGAGCAGCCCTGAAAATGGCTAGGCAGCCTCATGCCAGAGGTACTCGTCTTCCCTGAACACATCCTACATCTCAAGGTCTCTCTGAAGAACTTTAGAATTGATTGTGTGACGTGGGAGACACTGGCACAGGACTGCCCAACATGGCGCACCCTCATCAGAGAAGGTGCTGTGCTCTGTGAACAAAGGAGAATTGAAGTAGCTCAAAAGAAAGGGGAGATGCACAGATTTAGAGAATCCACCCTGAATGTTCGCATGGACTGTTTGTGCCCAACCTGTGGCAGAACATTCCGAGCTGGTATTGATTTCATCAGCCGCAGCTGGACACAATGTAACTGAACTCTGACATAGTGATGTCATTTCTGGACCTCTTAGAGAACGAAGGAAAACAATTAACCAATCCTGTAAGCAGTGTGGCGCCCCTGAAGGTTTTCTTCAACATTAACTTGGTATCTGAGGGTAGGGAGGATTAGAGATGGAAGAGACTGGAAGCAAGAGACAGCGTATAGAAAGCTATTGTTCAGGCAAGAGAGAAAGGGGGTCGATACTGGAATGGTGACTGTAAGTGGAAAGGAGAGGAAGGATATCGGAGGGATGTTGTTTCCTGAGGAGGTAGGATCACCAAAGCTTGGCAACTAATGGGATGCACTAGCTTTGAGGCAAGAGTGAACAGGGGATAGCTCCTATTAACTCTGAGAGCTGATTGTTAAATTTTCAGGGTGAGCATTTATACCTTGAAAATCAGCAAATGCTACAAATCAGGGCTTGATTTATTGTTTTGTTGATTGTCTAGACTTAAGATAGTGATGGAGAAAATGGTAAGAATGCAGATTAAACTTAAAAGTGTGCCTTATGTACTTTTTTTTTCCAGGAGAGCTGGTTGTTAAACTTTTACCAGCCTACCCCTGCTTTAAGGTCACAGTCCTGGGTCACTTGAAGGGATGTTGTTACCCTCAATAGAAATAGTTAAGTTTCACATTTCATAGTGTGTGTCGGAGGTAGGATTTGAACCTGGGTCTTCCTGGCTTCAAGACAAGCCCTTAATTTCCTACACTAGGCTGCTTTTCATCTTGTACAACAAACATTTGTATTTGTTGAATAGATTTTTAGGCAGAAAGACCGATGATGATGATGATGATAATAATCTAGCCTTGATGTAGTGTTTTTTCCTTTCTCTGTATCCCCAGCACTAAGCACAGTGCCTGGCACATAGTAAGTGCTTAATAAATTTGAGTCGATTAACTGATTGCTTTAAGGTTTGCAAAGTGCTTTACCCTTATCACATTTGATCCTCACAATAACTCTTGGAGTTAGTTGCTATTATCACTCTCATTTTACAGATGAAGAAACTGAAGCAAGCATCTTTTTTTGTTTTTTTGTTTACTATGTGTAAGTACCTGACACATACTAAGCGTTAGATAAATGTTAGTTATTATTATTATTTTATTTTTATTAGGGGGAAAAGTAGGAGGGAGAGAAAAATAAATTTGTTTGTTTTTTTTTTAAAGGCAGTTGGAGTTAAGTGACTTGCCCAAGGTCACACAGCTAGTGAGTGTCAAATGTTTGGTCTGAGGTCGGATTTGAACTCAGGTCTTCCTGACTTCAGGGCCGGTGCTCTATCCACTGCAGCATCTAGTTGTCTCAATAAATTTTTTAATTAAAAAAAAAAAAGAGCTCTGCTACTTATTACCTGTGTAACTTCCAGCAAGTCACTTAATCTCCGTAGGCCTTAGTTTCTTTGTAAAAGGAAGACGTTGGAATAGAAGGATCCTGAAGTGCCCTTAGCTTTAGACCTAGCATCCTCTGAGCTCCAGCAGGGTTCTTAACCTTGTTTGGGTCATAGGGCAATCTGGTGAAGCCTGTGGACCCCTTCTCAGAATCATTTTTTTTTTAGGCAATTGGGGTTAAGTGACTTGCCCAGGGTCACACAGCTAGTAAGTGTCAAGTGTTTGGTCTGAGGCCTCATCTGAACTCAGGTCCTCCTGATTTCAGGGCCCGTGTTCTATCTACTGTGCCACCTAGCTGCCCTTCAGAATCATATTTTTAAATATATAAAATAAAATAACATCCATTGAAATATAAAGGAAACCAGCAAAATTGAAGTAGTTATCAAGATATTTTTAGAAAGTTGATATATCCCAGATTAAGGACATTTTATCTCTTAAAAATTTTTAAACAAACATTTATTAAGCACCTATTGTGTGCCAGGCACTGTGCTAAGCATTTAAAAATATTTTGTTGGATCCTCACAACAACCCTGGAAGGTAGGGGCTGTTATTACTCCTTTTTTACAGACGAGGGTTAAGTGACTTGCTTAAGGTTGCACAGCCTATAAATGTCTGAGGCTGGATTTGAAGTCAGATCTTCCTGACTGCAGGTCAAGGGCTCTATCCACTGGGTCATGCAGCTGCCTCTAGGCTCTCTAGGTACCTACAGGAAAGTGACCAGAGGCTGCTGGTTTTCCAAACTCAACACAGACATCAACCATAGAACCCAGGGCTATGCCTAATCACTCAACTCGTTTTACTTGGCTTCTCAGAGTCACTGCTCCCATGCTGATCTCCTCCCCTGCAAGCACCTTTTAGAACTTCCTGATGACTGGATTGTATGTCCCCGTGACTTACTCTCTCCACCACTCTGCCCACTTGGCATTTATGTTAATTCTCTAGTCTTCATCATTGCATGCCAGTGATCCCTCCATCAGTGTAGATGGCCAGTCCTTTATAAATGATCTAGAGGTGTCGTTTGAGTGCTGCCAAACAGCTCGTCATCTTCAGGCCAACCCTAAGATGGGCCTTGTCAAAGGAGAAATATCTTCTCTTGTGTTTTCAAGTTATTATCAGTCTTTCTGCCTAAAAATCTATTCAACTAATACTTACAAATATTTGTTGTACAAGGGAGTTAAGGGCCTGTCTTGAACCCAGGAAGACCCAGGTTCACATCCTACCTCTGACACACACTGTGAAATGTGAACTGCTGCTGAAATAAATCTACCACAACACAAAATTTATGGAGGTAAGAAAAAGGTAGATTTTCTTATTTTTTCTTCTTCTTTTTTTGTTTTTTAAATTTTTTTTTTTAGATTTTCTTAGTCTTAAGCATAAGTTCAGAACTCAGGCAAAAAATAAATTCTGAACCCCAATTTATATTCCAATGAGGCCTCAAAGTGACAGAGAAACATTTTTTCCCATATTGCAATCTTGCATGTCTATCTTTGGGCAAAGAAGTTAAAGAAAAGACAGATTCATGATCCCGTCCTTCCTTCAATGTCATAAAAGTCAAACAAATTTAAATAGAGTCATAATCTCATCTATAAACAAACCTAGTTAAACAGACTGTATAGGTAAACTAAGTCATGCGATAGATTAAATTACATTTAAAGGGTTCACAAACAGGCTGATTGAAGGGGAGCGTTTAAATATCTGCCAAGAAGTCAGGGACAGTTGAGATTCTTCCTCTAGCTTGCTGTCTAAGGAATGTTTAAGGCCTTAAGTAAACTTTCACATCCATTGGGATGGGTTCTGGTCAGGCGAGGTTAATATTAATACAAAACAGGTTTTTAGTTAACCAAAAGTTGTAGAAAGAATAGATTTGCGGACCAAATGATAAAATTTAATAAAAAGAAATCAAGAATCACAAATTCCCACTATAGCCTCTTTGTTCTTTGGATGTGCAACAGGCAATCTGTCACTGGGATTGTGTTCAGGTTTTTATGTTCCATGTAACATATAGATATATAAATCCATATGTATATATACTCACATATGCACACATTGATATAGATAGACAGATGTAAGGTAGTATAGATATCTTGGTTATTTTGTTCACCACTTGTGTGACCTTGATAAAATTACTGATGTCCTCTGGGCCTCCACCTAGATGATCTCTAAGGTCCCTTTCAATTCTAAATTCTATGCTGTGTGTGTGTCTCTGTGTTTTCCTATCTAGACTATAAGGTCTTTGTTGTTAGGAACTCTCAGAGCGGGCAGCTAGGTGGTGCAGAGGATAGGGCACCGGCCCTGAAGTCAGGAGGACCTGAGTTCAAATCCGGCCTCAGACCAAACACTTGACACTTACTAGGTGTGTGACCCTGGGCAAGTCACTTAACCCCAATTGCCTAAAAAAAAAAAAACTCTCAGAAAAGGTTCAAGTGCCTAGAGTTTCTGGGGTTTCTGGACTAGAAGGTAAACTTTATTCTATGGACCTGTACTCCTTAAGGAGCTGGCAATATGGCAAGAAATTTAGGAAATGCTTGTTAATTGACTAATGCTTGTAGACTCTAGGATGTTTTAAGATCAAAAGAAATACATTACATTAATCAAGTAGGCACCAGCATTTTAGGAATGTGAATCCATACTTCTTGTATTAACTGCAATACTCGTACTGGTTATAGGAATACAACAGATATCAGTACATGAGCATTCAAATAGGCAAAGGTTGTCTCAAAAGAGCTTTAATGAAACATACCTGAAAAGTCACTGTTCAATTATAGTCTATAATAAAAGACAGAAAAAATAATTAAAATCTTATGGTATCCAATAACAAAATCCTGGGTAATCTTTGCAAATGTGAAGGGCTGTGTGTGTGTGTGTGTGTGTGTGTGTGTGTGTATTTGTATCCCGGAGGAAGCCCTTCCTATAGTCCACATAGTCTCTGGGAGTCTCCATCACAACTTTCCTTGGCACTGAGGAGTCAGAACCCCAGGGTATAGCTGTTCTATCCTCTCAGGGCTCTAAGCGCAGCCACGAGGAGTTGGGAAGAGAAGCCATTATTTTAACCAATGGTGTGCTGATAAATGTTTAACACCAGGCATTCCGTGGGGGTGGGGGGGGAATATATATAGGACATAGTTTTAAGTTAAATCGATGTTAACATCTTCTCTACTTTCTTAAGTCTAGACAATCAAACAATAAATTAAGGCCTGGCTTGTAGCATTTTCCAGTGTTTAGAAGGGCAAATGAGCACCCTGAAAGTTTAACTATTTCTTGGGAGCCAGTAAGAGTTACCTTCATCATATCCCTGGTTATATCTATTGATATACTAGACTTTATACCACAGGTTCCTAAACTTATTTGGCCCACCATCTCCTTTTCAAA